CTGCTGTTCTGAGTTAGCAAGAATGAAAGGGTAGTGGGTTTAGGGCCTAGCCTGCAAGGACTGTCTTACTCAGTGCAGGATTTATTTTAAAAAGCAGCAGTGATTCAAGAGCCATTCTTAGCTGACTGTCCAGGATTCATTATGGCAACAGACTGGGCTGAAAGTGAAATTTCCTTCATTATGTTGTGTTTCCTTGACCACAGCTGATTGCAGCACCTCCCACCATCATTCTCCTCTGTAGGGGCCTAATCCAGGAAAGATTTAAAGCAGAGGTTCAGGAGCTAGACTACTATGAATAATTTTAAATGTCCACAAAAAAAGTCTCAGAAATCCTGGTGTGAGCCCTTTGGGTACAGGAAAGATCTAAATGGCACCCTAGGTCACAAACATTGTGATGAGGGGACTGGCATGGATCCTCCTCCCCTCATCCACACCCTGAAGAGCTAGGCAGGCATGGAGAGGAAGTCAACAGCATAGAGATGCAGCTGGGAACCCAGGGCAAGGGGCAATGGTGGCTTCTGGCTGCTGTTACAATCATAACTGCAATTTCATAGCTGGCAGGAGCAACCACTTTTTTGTACTCACACAAACTAAGTACTTGGAGAGGTTGTCTCATTTGCCCCACCCTTGTTACACCACTGGGAGGACAGGGGAAGGTCTTGTGTCATATGTGCAATGACTCTTGCTTGACAGTAAGTGGGAGTCTCATAAAGGCAGGCCATTGTGATGCAAGAGAATGAGGAGATAGGGGTTTACCTGCCCTAGTGTTTCTAGTCCCTCAGTCGGGGACTAGCTGGAGAGCCTGCAAGAACATAGCAGCAAAATAGAGACAAAAAGAGCAACAAAACAAAACAAAAAACCCTTGTGTAACAGGTACCCACTCTGGGCCAATCTAAATGTGGCCCGCACACCTGTTCCTGGGCCAGCTGCCTGCCTTCTCGCTTGCCATGCCTTGTTGTTAATTGATTAATTGATGTTAATTAGCGGAAGGCTGCCCCTTTACTGCCCCGATGCCAGAGGGCGCTATCTGTGGCTCCGTTTCGTCCCCTACAGTGCAGCCCATGCCTCGCTGATGGTACCAATGTTGTTTGTCCAGGCCTTGTTGTAATTTGGCCCCCTTGTCCTCACTGGGCCCTCCGCGGTCCTATCTCACTCTGCGCCTTCACTGGCACTCGGGTTTTCCGCAGCCCTGTCTGGCACTGCGCTCTCTCTGGGGCTTCTCCAACACCACCCCCCTCTCTCTGGGGCTGGGGTCCCCACACTGCTGGGGGTCCCATATGAGGCCTCCTTTTCCCCCTAATAGCCTCACCCAAACCACCAGTTACAAGCAGCAAACACAAAGCAAAAGCCCCTAGGCTATAACATAAATCTCAGCCCTCTGGCTCCAACATTCTTCCCGTCACACCAGGGGTGCCCCATCTCTCACCAGTCTCAAGCCGTTTGTGTATTCTGACCTCTTCCCTTTACTCTCTCTGGCAGAGCTCCTCCTCCCTTAGCTGCCAGCAGGGAACTCCTCCTGCCCTCCAGCCTGTGGTTTATATAGGAGCCAGGCCTTGTCCTTCTGGTCAGCTGACCAGGCAGGTGTGAGCCACTGGCTCCCTCCAGTTACCCTAGCAACCAGCACCTGCGTAGTTACTCTGGCTCTACAAGTAGCAGGCACCTTAGTGCCCTGCTACACCTTGGTAAAATCAAATTATGGAAAAGACTTTGCAGGATTTGCCCAGCTCTTGACTCTGCTTTCTATAGGGTAACCAGTTTGGAAATTGGAGCATAGAATGCTCAGTCCCTCTCTGTTCTGCAGGGATGGTGTTTCTGTTGATGTAAATAATGTGAAGGCACCTTGATACCTCAGTGGTGCTCTCAAAAGTATATGTTGAGACACAGTTTCTTAGAGTCACAATGAAGGTATGTTGGTAAAGTTACATGTGTAAGTGTGGGTGCTGAGTGTGTGGGTGGGTTGTGAGTGTAGTGGTCACTGTGTACATGTACATGTGTGTGGATAATTGTGTGCCTATAAGAGAGAAAGAGACTGTGCTAGTGAAAATGTGAGCATGTGAGAGTTTGCAAAGGTCATACCAACATATTTCATTTCCTTCATCATGTAACCCATACCTAGGAGGCATAAAATTATAGAAAATTAGGGTTAGAAGGGACCACAGGAGGTTATCAAGTCCAACCCTCTGCTCAAAGCAAACTGGCCACAGCTTTGTTTAGCCTCATCTTAAAAACCTCCAAGGATGGAGATTCAATAACCTCTCTGGATAGCTTATTCCAGTGCTTTACTACCCTCCTACTGAGAAACTTTTTCCTAATATCTAACCTAAACTTCCCTTGCTGCAACTTGAGACGATTGCTCTTTGTTCTGTCATCTGCCATCACTGAGAACAGTCTAGCTCCATCCTCTTTTGAACCAGCCTTCAGGTAATTGAAGGCTGCTCTTAAATCCCCTCTCAGTATTCTCTTCTCTTACTAAATACACACACTTCCCTTTACCTCTCCTCAGAAGTCATGTGCCCCAGCCTCCTAATCATTTTCATTGCATCTGCTGCACTCTCCAATTTGTCAAAATCCTTTCTGAAGTGGAGCTCCCAAGCTGGACAAAGTACTCCAGATGTTGCCTCACCAGTGTTGAACAAAGAAGAAGAATCACTTTCCTCAACCTGCTGGCAACACTCATCTAATGCAACCCAGTATGCTGTTAGCCTTATATGCAACAAAGGCACACTGTTGGCTCATATTCAGCATATACTGTAACCCTGAGGTACTTTTCTACAACGCTGCTGCTTAGCCAGTCAGTTCCCATCCTGTATCCATGCATGAGATTGTTCTGTCCTAAGTGCAGATCTTTGCATTTGTCCGTACTGAACTTTATGAAATTTCTTTTCCTCCCATTTGTTGAGGTATCTCTGAATCCTAGTCCTACCACATTATATCTACTCTTCCCCCTAGATCGGTGTCATCCACAAACTTGCTGAGAGTGCTCTCCATCCCATCTTCCAGGTCACTGATGAAGATTAAACAAAACCAGTCCCAGGACCAATCCTTGGGGCACTTCACTTGATACTGGCTGCCAGCTAGACATTGAGCCATTGATTACTGCCCTTGCTTACCACCCTTTAAGCCCAACAATCCAGCCATTTTTCTATCCACCTTATATTCCATTCATCCAACCAAGCCGTACTTTCTTAGCTTGCTTGCAAGAATGCAATGGGAGACTGTATCAAAAGCCTTGATAAAGTCAAATTATATCATGTCCACTGATCTCCCTGCATCCACAGAGTTGGTCATCTCGTAGAAGGCAATCAGGTTAGTCAGGCATGGCTTGCCCTTGGTAAATCCTTGGTCTGTTCCTAATCACTTTCTTCTCCAAGTGCTTAGAAATGGATTCCTTGAGAACCTGGCTCCATGATTTTTCCAGGGACTGAGGTGAGGCTGACCAGCCAGTAGTTCCCTGGATTCTTCTTCTTCTCTTTCTTAAAGATGGGCACTATATTTACCCTTTTCCAATCACATGGGACCTCTCCTGACCACCATGAGTTTTCAAAGGGAATGGCCAATGGCTCTACAATCACATCTGCCAACTCCCTAGGTACCCTTGGATGCATCATATCCAGCCCCATGGACTTGTACACATCCAGCTTTTCTAAAAATTCCCTAACCTGTTTTGCCACTCTGCTCACCTCCTCCCCAAACTGTGCTGCTAGGTGTAGTAGTCTGGGAGCTGACCTTGCCTATGAAGAGTGAAGTGAAAAAGGCATTGAGTACTTCAGCCTTTTCCACATCATCTGTCACTAGGTTGCCTCTCCCATTCAGTAAGGGACCCACACTTTCCCTGATTTTCCTCTTGTTGTTTACATGTAGCAACCCTTCTTGTTATCCTTCATGTCCCTTGCTAGGTGCAACTCCAAGTGTGCTTTGGCCTTCCTGATTTCATCCCTGCACACCCAAGCAATACTTTAATACTCCTTCCTAGTTGTTTGTCCACATTTCCATTTCTTGTAAGTTTCCTTTTTGTGTTTTAGCTCACTGAAGAGTTCCCTGCTAAGCCAAGCTGGGCTTCTGCCATACTTGCTAGTCTTCCTGTGCATTGGGTGGTTTGTTAAGGCACCCTCAGTAAGGTTTCTTTAAAATACAACCATCATTCCTGGAGTCAATTGGCAATACAATGTGAAGCAGAGCCCTGCAACTTGCATTTCGAATTTAGTCCAAAAAGTGTATTATTCTCCCCATTGACCAACATTTTGAGACAATAGCAAGAAGAAAATTAATTGCAGAGCTCATGCTTTGAAAAGCTAATGCAATTATGAAAAGCATGCTTTGCCAAAACCTAGCCAAGTGAGAGTGAGAGAAAATAGAGCAAGGAAAATAGAGTGAATGCTATTGGAAATGCTACTTCGTAACACAACATTTCACTTGCAAAAGGTAATCTAAGATACAGCACCTACTTTCCTAAAAATCTGGGACAAACTTACCAATAGCACTGAATAAATGCATTTGCAAGGTGAACATGATCAGCTGATGATGCTGAAGCTGCAGATCAATTTCCTTTATTAGTCAGAATTATTACATCTTCCATTAGCTCACAGGTATCAAATATATCACCTGAGGGCTGGATCCAGCCCCTGGAATTAGGTCATTTGGCCTGCAAGGCTCCTAAAAGGGCTGGGAATTTGGGGCATGGCAGGGAGGTGAATGGGGGTGAGAACCACTACCAAATCTGGGATATGAAGCCCCAGTGGGGACACATGTCATCAGTGGGGGGCAAGTGATGACTGTGTTAACACTTCTGGTTCCCTAATGCTGTTCACTCCACCTACACTTCCACTGCCGCTGCCACTGCCACTTGGCTTGCTGCTGATGCATCCAGATCTGGCCTGTGAGGAGCTCTGCCATCTAGATCCGACCCAAGTGGGGTGGAGGGGTTGACACATCTGTATGAATTTCTTGATGTACTTGGATTGGCTACTAGCAGTGTGATTTCTCTATAAACTTTTTCTCAGTGCTAGAGAACATCCTCCAGGAGTGTACTTCTTCCACATGCTGAATCAACTGGACATTGGCTTATTTGCTCACAAGAAGGTGAAGGAAGTGACTTGCATATCATGTGCCTTTGAGTTTGAAGTACCTTGTGAACTACCCAGTAGTCTCATATAGATGTTATCTAGGAGATGGGACACGCTTAGCAGCCTTTCATGAACTGTCACTTGGAAGCTACACAAAGGCTGGTATTACTGTTTATTTAAAGGTGAACAGCAGTCCTTGCACTAGTCTCTAAGCAGAAGGTAAAGACTAGTGTAGCAGGCTCACCTTTCAGAGCTTGGGTTGAGTCCCAGGCTTGAGATCCTGCTGTTTTGATTGGTGGAGCCCATTCACCGATCAGGAGGGAGCAGGAGAAATAAAGTCATGCCCCTTTCCTGAGGGGAAGGGGAGAAGAGCTCCCCTGGATCTGATTGAAGACTGTAAACTGCCAGGTCTGGAAGACTTCAGGGGCAGAGCCCTGGAGTGTATAAAAGGAGCTGCATGCCCAGCACGAGGGCAGATACAGCGAGGGACTCAAAAAGAGTGGAGCCAAGAAAAGCTGGGGAGCTCTCCCCCAGTGGGCAATAGGCCCATGGCTCCTGAATCTGCCACTGGAGGAGCAGCCTTGGAAATGGTGCGAGACTGCTCGGGCTGTTGATGGCGCACGGGGATGGTGCACAGAGATCTGGCCCTGGGAGCAGTGTGAAACTGCTCGGGCCCATCATGGTGCACGGTTTGGTGCATAGAGGCCAGAATTCGGTAGCTGCAAGTGGCAGCTCAAGCCTGCAACCCTGGCAGGCCCAGTGGGGGACACAGTGTGCAGGGCAGCCCATGGGGCTAGGGCCTTGAGGCTGCAGTATGGCAACTGAGGCCCCATCTCCTGGCAAGTGACCAGGTCCCACGGTGCACAGGGCAGCACATGGGCCTGAGCCTTGTGAGCCAGGGAGCCTGAAGGGTCCGGCCTGTGCTAAGAGAGCCCTCAGTGCCGAGCCAGGGCACGGGGAAATGGTAGTGTGCAGCGTGAGGCCCAGCACCGAGGAGCCAGCTGCAGTGATACAGCAGCTGAGAGGAGCTGAGCCCTCAGAGCCCAGAGTGGGGCACAGGGTGGGGAGGAGCCCAGCAGTGCAGGAGAGGCCTGGAGAATCACTCCAGCAAAGCAGACCCCATTGAGCTGCACCCTGATCACCACCACCTGAGGGAGTGTGAGTTATTGGGCCCTTGGGTCCCACAGGGGAAAGAGGTTTGGAGCAGGCAAACCCAGAGAAGGGGCTGGGTGGGCAGCCCCCTGCCTAGTCAGGGCCCTAAGGGGAGGGGCCCCTGGCGCTTCCTGGACACTCCCCAAGGGATCCCATTAAAAGGAGGACTATCTCTTGCCATGGGTCAGGGACTATATTGAGGAATAGATGTTATTAAGATTGTTCATGTTTGCGCCTTATATTTTGTAATTGAAATGTTGTATTGTGATGTTGTAAATAGTGTTATTTAGGGTTTGACCTTGGTTATTGGTTAGTATTCTCTGTGTAAATATATGTATATGATATTTAGTTTTGTGTTTATGTATATTATAACTTAATAAATTGTATATAGTTAAGAAGTTTGGGCTTGGGCTAACTCTATAGACAAAAGAGGGATCTGCTTGAAATTCTGGCATCCCTCTCACAGCACCCCTTCCTGCCTACCCATCCCATTCAATTGAGAATAGGGCACATGCTTGGGTGTACCTGGGTTATGCTAGCTACTGCTGTTTTGCTAACTATAGCCAGGTCTTATCATCAGGCTCCTGGGGCAAAGGCTGTCTCTGTTCTCTGTAGAGCACTGAGCAAGCTAGGGCTCATGTCCAGGATGAGCTTCTAGGCTCTATTTCAATGAAAAGCAACAAATAATTGTTTACAGTCATCTACACTGAAGGTGCTGAGAGGCCCTAAAATGTAATGCAGATGTTTGTCCCAATGTGCATGGCTGCAGGGTAATTGTCTGACAGGGTAATTTGTGCTCTCTTGGTGCCTGGCTGAGAAGAGAGGTAGTTTGCTGTGTTAGTCTGTCATAGAAAAAGACTACATTCTCCCCTCCTCTAATATGTGCAGTCTATGATAATCTCCTTACTGTGGGCATCTAAAAAGCAAGAGTATCATCTCAGTGCCTGGAGCTTCCTCCCTGAGAACATTTGGGTTGTAGGCATTTGTGTGAAGGGCTAGAAGGAGCTGCTGTCTGTAGCACATATACCTCCAGATCCTATAATAATTAAAACTCATAGACAACTCAATAACTGCAGTAAGCTATATTTAAATGAGAGACTTTACAGCCTCATTTCTAGGAAACTGAGAGTAGGGTATATATGAAATATTACATTTACTGAGTATTTATTCAGAACATAACAACAGATAAACTCCAATCACATATTGCATTCAGATATTAGATATTTATTCCAAATATGGTGCTGTTGCAAATGTATGATAAACATGAAAGCGGGAGTACAGTTATTTATGTCCTGACTTCAGCTTCTCAATCGCCTGTTTAAGTTTGGTGTATTTATGCTCTTTTATCCAGCTGTCTGACTTTATCAATTCCTGTAAAACTTGGGAGAAGAGATTGTTCCAGCAGAAGGCCAAATCCCAACAAAGTGCACATAACCTTCCTCTCTATATGGTGGACTTCCCTAGTGGGAAAGTATATTCTATCCCCTTCTGCATCTTCCCACTCTTGTGGAGCAGTTCTGGCAGAAACTGCAGTGTATTGCCTAATGTGTTGGCATGGATTGCCTAAATTCAGGAGTGAACAGAAGATTTGGGGAGGACTCACCTCATTCCAACAATACTGGGGAGAGAAACTCTATGCTGTTTAAAAAAAAATCTTTTCTGAAAACTGCTTTATTTTGAAAAGCGAGCACTTTAAAAGTGGGAACTAATACTCAAGAAAATTCCTCTTTTGGTGCCAGAACAACAGCGTCCCATTACTGAGACCAAAGATCTATTGTGTGTAGTACATACAGTGCAGTCATACTGGATGCCTATACATGAGCAGGGAGCTGCTCCGACATGCTATAATTACAGTGCATTGGAGCAGACTCAATTAATTGAACCTGCTGGAGTATGGTAATTACTGAGCTTCAGCAGCCTCCAGTAGCTCATGTATCGGCATCCCTGCACTTCAAAATGCTGGTGGGGACACTTTATCTAAAGCTCATTCAATGAGCTTCGAGGCATAGGGATGCATTCATTTTGAAGCATAGGGATGCTGATACATGAGATGCTCTGGCTGCTTTAATTAGAGTGCCACCCATCCCTCACTCCTGGAGAATGTATATAAATGCCTACAGAGCTTAAACCCAGAAGAGGTGCAGTTTAGTTATCCCCGAAGCCAGAACAGTGTAGCTGTGTTCAGGTAGTTTCCATAGTGGAACACTTTTCATAGGTCCTGCCATGCTCCTTGAATGCAACTATACTGCTTCTGCTTCTGGAGTTAGTGGGCACAGGACACTTAAGTGTAGCACTGCGTTATAACTTATAGACATAAGATTATCAGGAAGGCACACTTTTGCAGCACAGAGAGGAGACAGACATGCCCTGCCAGGAATAAACAAGCTGTGTGGAGGCATATGCAGCCTTCTTGGTGCGGAGTAGGGGGACAGCATGCAAGATGCAAAAAGCACAGAGTGGGTGCATCTACACGAGACATCTACTGTGCAGTTGACTAATTAATTGTGTAGTAAACATCTTAGCATCTCCATGTGCACCCCGATTAGGGTGCACAAAACTAATAAACTCTGCTGCAGGTTAGGACTTGAAACCCTAACCTGCTTTGGAGTTTTTTCATGTGCAGGAGCGCATGTATGGATGCTGCCTTAGTTGGATGGGGCACAGGGTGTTTCAGCACAGGCCTAGCTCTGCAGCATGTGGAGCCCTGTCAAAGCATTCCTGGGCTTACAGTCTGACCCCCCCCGGGTCCCCTGCTACCTTGGGCTGGTCTGACAGGGCTCCACATGCTGCAGACAAATACACTGTGTAGACACACCCAGTATGGTTCTTATAGGGACAAAAATAAGGTTTTAGTAGGTGCATCTACATGTGTGCTTTATACGAATTAACCTATTTTAACATGATAATGGTGTCACTAAAATAAATGTGCTTTTTAGTTAATGCACATTAAAATAGGCTAATGTGCATTACACATCACTTAAGAACTGTGCTCTTTAGTTAATGATCATTAAGGCAGGCTAATGCAAATTTCCTAGTAGAGGACAATTTTACATATGCATGTTCCACAGCACCAGGCGCTGCCTTCTGGGAGCCCATATCCAGGATGTAGCTGAGAGGATCCCAAAACTTATTTGGCCCTCCGACCACTACCCTATGCTCCTTATCCATGTGGGCACAAATGACATGGCTCAGAGCAATCCCAGCTGGGTCATGAGTGGCTACAGGGCTCTGGGAATGGGGCTCAGAGGGCTGGGGGTGCAGGTGGATTTTTCCTTGATCCTTCTAGTTATGGGGCATGGGCAGAGGAGGAAGAGATGAAACGAGGCAGGAAACAGAAGACTGCAGTGTTGGTGCCACCATCAAGGCTTCAGCTTCTACTACCACAGCCCACTCTTCAGAGAGAGAGGCAGTGATCTGTTGGGAAGAGAAGGCCTCCACCTCACTCCACTGGGGAAGAAGCTCTTCTCAGCCAGAATGGCTGCCTTGCTTGACCAGGCTTTAAACTAAGCTCGGTGGGGGATGGGCAGAAAACCATTGGAGCAAGTTCACCAAGCATCAACTGCAAAACCAGAAGGTTAGGAAGCTCAAGAGACCCCACTCCTACCCCAACCCAGGAACAGAGCTTTTCCATGAGTACAAGGAAGCCTAAGGCCTGCAATGGCACACTTATGTGCCTGTATACTAATGCTAGGAGTTTGGGGAATAAACAGGAGGAGCTGGTCCTTCTGCTAAACAGCAGTGACTACAATCTCATAGGGATTATGGAGATCTGGTGGGACTCCTCCTATGACTGGACAACTGGTATAAATGGCTATGCCCTGTACAGGAGAGATTTACTGAAAAAATGGGCGGGGGTGTAGCTCTTTATGTGAAGGAGAGCTACACATCCCTACAAACTAAGATTGGCACCCAAGGAGGACAACTGGAGACCCTTTGGGTTAGAATACAATGGGAATGTAGTGAAGGGGATACAATGGTACGAGTCTACTACAGACCTCCAAACCAGGATCAAGTGCTTGACCAAGAATTTGTCAGAGAACTGGCCGAGGCTGCACGCTCTCATGGGAGACTTCAACTACCCGGACATCTCATGGGATAAGCACTTGGCCACATTCGATTGGTCTCAAAGCTTCCTTACATGCGTGGATGCGTTCTACCTGTCTCAAGAAGTTTATGGGCTG